TTGCCCATGTTCTTTTTATATAGAGCTACGATTCTTCAACTGAGACTTGGATGGAATGTTCAAAAATTTTCAAATCTTGACCAAGCTCTTGGTGGATTTTATTAGCTGCATCAGTTTCTGACATGGCCCGGCTGTTTTAATTGTATGCTCCGTCTGTTCAAGAGTATGTATAGCTTCCAACGTCTTCTTATTTTCCAATTTTTTAAGAGAACAGGAGTTAAAATTTTTAAAAAAACGTAGAAATTTGACTTCATCAAGATGAGGAGGAGGAGGAGATGAAAAGGGAGGATGACTATACATCCTTGTGTTTATCTCCACAGTAATATTTAACCCCAAAGAGCAGGTTATATCAATTAGTATGTGATTCAAAGTTAGAGCACATGTTTCGCTCAAACCATAAGTAAATTTGGCTAAAGCCGTAATTATTTACAACTTATAAATATTTTATTTTATAACACAAAAGCAATTTATTATCATCTCTAATTTTTGATTCTTACAACCCCTTGCTTCTTTGATCGTTGTTACGTTATATAACTCTTTTTTTTCATACTTTATTTATTTATTATAATCAACATTGTTTATACAGTTGACTCTGGTTATATCGAAACCGGCTATAGTGAGCAAGAACTTGTAATCAATAAAGCTGAACTTTATTAATTGTTAATGTCGTTTGACGAAATATTACCAAAAGTTTCGCCGCCATCAAGTAAAATTGCTTTAAAGGCTAATAAAATATAAAAGCTCACAAAAAAACTTGTATATTCCAAGATCTTTTTTATATATTTTCTTGAGTATCTCGATCTCTTTATCAGTTGTTCCCAAGGAACCAAGTTTTTCTTTTGCTGATAGATAAACTCGAACATTTCTTAATAACATAATACATGATCGGGGTAGATAAAATTATAATATCAATATTGATTGATTAAGTTTACTTTGCAATAATAAATCCATCTTTATCAACGAAAATTTCATTAAAGGTCCTCGCAGAGTAAAATAATAGATAATTAACATTTCTCGTAAAATAAAACTCTGATAGAATCATTATTAAATAAAATTAATCGTTAATAAACTTTTAAAAATAAAAATAAAAATAAAATAAAAACATTCTTTTTACTTTCCTTGTTTAAAGCGCCTTGATAAAAACAACAAGTG